GAAAGAAAGAAATAAAGAAAGAAAAGGAAAATTAATTTGGTTAGAAGGAAGATCTATGGCAGACTAAGACCAACTAACTTGACAAACGTCGATAACCGCGGTACACTGATACACGATAGGCTGAAAAGGGAAACAACAGCACGGTTAATCTTATAAAAAACGACTAATACTTTTTAAAAAATATACATCAAACTACAGGTGTGTGCAGGTGTGTCTAGTTTACCTGGAGTCTGGAAGTTGATTCTGCGGAGCTCCACGGGATCAGTTGGATGGTGGGACGACATGGCTTTGCTGCAGGGGAAACTGCCCTTCCTGCCTTCTGCCTCAGCCCTTTTCCTGGAATAACAGATCAACACACAGCATTTACATGCACCTCAACCTGATGAACTGGAGCCTTTACTGCATTATTATGGTTATGCATAACCTCAATTTTAGGGATTTGTGTTTAAATAAATGGGCCACAGTAAGCCTCATAAAATTGCTCCTTGGACATTTACAGGGATATCTGTAATTTTCATGAAATGTCTGTTTCAAATTCTACCAGAGCTTTGGTTGACTGCTGGTTTAGTGTTGCAGCTTTTTATATGTTAATGACTGCAGTTAAAAGTGACTTATATTCTCAGATTTTCTTTGCTTTTATTGAAAATCATTGACATGAACTCATGCAGTGCAGTTGTCATTGTTCCCTACTCTGAATATTCACAATTTGATTTCATGACTTATATCTTTATCCAATGCACTGGTTAAACTGTACAACTTCCGGTGCACAATTTATCCTGTGTGCTGTTACTATGCAATGATCAAAGAAACACCAGGGTAATCCTTAGTCTGCTGGGATCTATTATCTAAAGCATTCTTTGGAAAGGGTTTGCAAGGAAAATAACCCTGTAGGACAGAGGAAATGGTAATAGGTGGTGTTTGTTTACCTGTCAGGTTTGCTGGATCCAAACAGGGAGAAGAGCAGATAAAAGAACAGACAAGGATGAATAACATTAGTGTTCAATCGACAAACATCAGGGACTAAAGCAATGCTGAACTCATTGTTCTGTCCCTCTCATTAAAACTAATCAGTTTCTTATTACGATGTTAGACAATATGTTAAATAGCACCCTGTATAGACACAAAGACAATCAGTGAATGTAAATCTAAAGGACAAAAACTCTTCCCCTGATGAATGCTGCACATACACATTATCTCTCACCACATCCTCTAACTGTGACATCTACTATATAATAACATAGTAGAAATAGGTTGAAACTCAGACACAATTGGAACATTAACAGGTTACACTCCAGGGCTTATGAACTTTACATTATTACCACCAAGGTTAATCATTTTGCAATGCTACATCCGTTGCAGCAATTATTCATGTGCATTAAGAAATCTCTAGCCAGAAGAACAGATGATTATCATGAATAATGCTAATGTCTGATAATGTTATCTTCCCCTATCTGTTATGTTAGCTTTGCTCCCTGTATATAGATTTTAAGAAGAGATTACAGAAAACACACATATTTGTATAAAAACAAGTGGGCTAAACTAAGATGTGATTGGCACAACCGATGTGAGTCCTGTATGTCTCATAAATAACAGAAAGACATTATTATATTTTCCTCCTAAAGTTAAGGTTTTCAAACCGTTGGGGGCACAGGGAAGTTGAAAGGAGAGGTGTCACATGAGGAAAAAGATACTGCATGAGGTGAAAGACAATTAACGTACTTTTTCAGACGCTTAGTGCCCGATTTCAAAAATTTGTGTTAAAATTCATACTTCTTGAAGAGTAACTCAAATCAATCAAATCTGAACACAATTTGACACATGTATGGTTAGATCTGGTGTGATCTATACTTCCTTATAATATCATTATCTCAAAATCCATAAATCTGCTTTGAAATTATAGAAAAGATGTTCCTTTTAACTTTTAATGTACATTGCAAACAGGAAAATAGGTAGATAATTTCGTCTGAGAGGGAGCCACAGTCAAAACCCCTGCCTTTAAGCAATAGTCTAGATATCAAAAGTAAAGGATTAGAGAGATAACTGACATTATTTCTTGTTTATGACCTTGCTTTGACAAAGGCGATTTGGGAACTGCTGCTTTTCAAGACAGCCTAACTATAGGCAAGGAATATATCAAAATATCTATGAAATTCACTATACTGCCCAAAAAATACAAAGAGCAACAAGCCAAATTAGAAATGAAAACAAGTTAATCCCTATAGAGTATCTTTTGCCCTTTGTAACTGCCTTAGTAAATATTTTTCTTTATCTCATATTCACCAAAACTCTTAATCTTTCACCTTGTCTCTTTTTAATTTCCTTCCTCCTTCTCTTACTAATCAAATATTTTATTAAACCATTTTTACTGGATCCATCATGCTGCCCTTACCTCTTGAAGAGGAGAATGGCGATGACAATGCAGACGATGAAGATGACTGCCAGCACGGGCCCTACCACCCACAAAAGACCCTCTTCTTCATCGACAATTGGCTGAGGATCCACATCCGATGAGGTCACAGGATCAGAATAAGGGCTAGTGGCGTACATAGTCTGAAGTAAGAGACACAAATTAGCTCAGATAAATCAGACAAAACTTTATTGAGATGGTTAAACTCTGTGTTTGTATTTTTACTCACATTCTCCGAGAGGTCTAGCAGCGCAAGCACAAAGAAAACATATTCCTGTCCGTTCTGCAGCGGACGGTTGCGGAAGTCACCATAGTTCCGCCCATCACCCAACGTGAACTCCATGGGGAGGGTCTTAAAGTGGGCCGTGACGTAGGCCCTGGGATCTGATTGGCCAGCTTGTCTGCGGATGCGGAGGGCACGACTGACACTGGTCCTGTTGATCTCTTTCAGGAGCTGAAAGGGAAGTAAACAGAGGATGTGTAAACACGAGTTAAACAGAGGAGAGGGAGGAAATAAAGAATTAAAACAACGTTACAAAAGAAAGAAAATGGGGAGAATAACAGGCATCAAGTTCATCTAACAGTGTAACATCAAGGTCACAGTGCAAATCAGTTTAATTTCTCTGATACAGAAAAAATATATGTCGTCATCTTTCTGCTGTTTTCCTAAAAAGAGAGAGATGTTCTTAATATTTGTAGATTGTATTCCTCCTTCCTGATAAAAAAGCCTTGGAAAAGCAGGGCAAATTGGGCAATTTTACCCTACACAAAAACCCTCATCAGTGGAGGAACAATGGGCTGTATAGAGCATTATCACCTAAGCACAAATGTCTTCATCATCAACTGAATTGCTACCACATTCATCCACTGAGACAGTGGAAACCATAAAAAACTCTATTGAAACTAATCTCACACACATGAATGTGCTTTCAGAACAGAGTAATGAGGTGATAAAGTCTTTAGAATAAGGCAGGAAGTGGAATTAGATGTGAAAGTATTGTTTGGACCGAACAGACAATGGATGGCCAGGTCGTCTACCTTCACATAATAAGATACAAATAGGCTGTCTGATACCACAGAGGTGAAAAACACCGGCAGTAGACTCAGCACTATTCTTTGTTTATGTGACTTGAAAATTCAGTTCAATTCAAAACACATTATCCATCAAGGGGCAATTTGAAGCGAGCGAGTATGCAAACAGAAGTACACATAAAAACAATCAAAAAACTCAAATATGACAATGTTAGAAAGAGTTGAAATACACAAGAATTAATGGCAGTGGCCGGTCCATAGCTGTAACATAACACATGATGACATCCAGATGAGTTTCTTATACTGTGGCTGTTCATAAGTCCAATGGCTTCTGGAATAAAAGCAAACTTCCTTTGTTTGAAATACAGGCAATCTAAAAGCCATTCCTGATGGCATTAGCTTAAAGTAGTTATAGAGGACCTGTGTGGGGTCCTTGATAATTTCAGGCGCTGCTGACCCTTATTCACAGTGACATTGTATTTTCACTAAATCTTAATCTGTTGGAAGACTGCCTATGTTGAGTTTTTTTTTAATTTTAATTTTAAATTTTTTGGGGCTTTTATTGCCGTTAATCGATAGTGACAGCTTCTAGAGTGACAGCAAAGGGCGGAGAGAGAGAGGGGATGACACACAGCAAAGGTCCATAGGTCGGAGTCGAACCCATGGTTGCTGCAGCAAAGACTCATCCTCGGTACATGGGGGTGCCAGCTCTAACAGGTGGGCTATCACGGCGCACCTCTCTATGTGTTTTGGTGAGATTATCATTTCTTCAGTTTTTGATATATTTAAAGCTTAAAAAAGATATGTTGCACCTGTCCACTGGTTCTTACATTATGGGTTTGATCTAAATAACTGAGAAGAGAAATAACAATACTGTCGTCAACTACAATGCTCATCATCATCATAAAAAAGGACGCAACCCCGCTGTGAAATATTCAACAGTGATCATGGCCATCACCTTGATCATCACCATTAGAATTACATTACAATAAGCTCTTTATTATGCTATATATTATATTAGATATTATATATTATGCTATTTATTGGTATAATCAATCATCAATGTCTCACCTCATCCAAGTTCATCTGGTCGGGCTCCTCCCAGGGGTTCAGGAACTTCCCTGCTCTCTGCTTCTTCAGTGGCACCACCACCACGTAGTAACCCCTGAAACACAGCACGCATTGAGTTTAGGCTACTATAAACTATAAATCATTCTTTTAATATTTCAGTCCCTGGAGAAAGATCAGAACTCTACTTTATGGAGTAATGTATCATAAATAGAGTATATTGTTGCAGCAGCAGCTGTGACCCGGTACTCCAAATCTAAACAGCGTGGTTGTTTTCGGAACAGAGGGCAATGTCTGAAGCCACGTGTAAAACAAAAACACATTTCACTGGAGTAGGGGAATTTTTCAGAAGCAGTCAGACCATAAGCGATGAGGGCACAGACACCGAAATCATCCATGGGTCCTCAATAGATGACTCACTCCAGCGCTCCATGTTTCCACTTGAGCATACACTACTATGCTGAGGTAATATAATAGAAAGTAGGTTATGTCAAATGTGAGAAAATGATATGTGCTTAAATCTGGCGCTTTTTCGTTTTCAGTGGAGAGATATCTTGATCAATGTAAAAATTCCCACAAAAAATAGGAATAAAAAATGCCTGCAGGGTGATTTCTTATTGTCACTAAGTCATTTCAACATCCAACTGATTACGGTTTGTGTTACTATCTTGGATCAAAGGATCTAAAATTGGAAAGACTCTTGTGTTTGTAGACAGGGAAAGAGCTAAATGCTCTTCGGGACTCAAAAAACCCCAAAAGTGTTCTAATGTGACAGGGGTAAACTATAGTAAAATGACTGTGAAAACATGTGAGTAGCTGTGGAGTGATTCAGGATGTACTTTAACGCTGAATGACTGTTTACACTTAAAGCAGATGAGATTATCACCTTCGTGCTTTCATTTGGCCTGTTGTGGGAGTTCTCAGACTTGCTTCCCTGCCAAGTCAGAGAAATCCCTCCTGATAGACCAATAAATGAAAAGCAGCGGCAAGAGGAAGAAGGAGAATTACCTCACAGGGTCTGTAGAACAATTAATTTGAAAACAACCTAATTGGAACAAATTCTGCACAGGTTACTGTTAGAAATACTCATATCTAGCCATTACATGAAACCCAATCCTTCACTCTGCTTTACTCATCCATGATCACTACCTGACTTTGGCTGTGGTCTGCACAGTTGGTAGCTGCACAGTCACCATGCCGTCTGCATTGGTCTTTCCCACCACAGTCGGTTTGGTTTTAAAGATATCTGGGGCGGTGGTGGCGGTGACGCGGTGCTGTAGACCTCCGGCGCTGTTGGCCCGGTTGGTGAGCAGAAAGGAGTACTGGGTGTCTGGCTCCAAGCCAGTGATCAGCTTCTGGGTCTGCTTCCCGTCCACTTCAACAGACTGGCCCTTTCCATACAGGATCTGGACACAGGACGTGTTCAATTGCATATGATGATATGATGGTAAAACACACAACGCAGCACATATTGTAAGTTCTCAAGTAGTGCCCAATGCCTTTATTTGCCTCAACACAAAGAACCAGGCATTTATTTCACAGAGGATATTATATTTTAATTTCCCCTTTAAATGTATTGGTATATTTGATTTTCATTTAGTGCAATGTTTTTGCCTGTTGTCTTTGCTGTTGCATGCATTTCCTTTATCTGTTTTACATTAAAAGCCTTCCAGCAGCTCAAGAGGCATTATATGACTGCAAGGCTTTATTAATTATCAAACAGGAAGTGTTGAAATTAATTAACAGCAACACAGAGATAAATGGGCAATGAATTGTTGGAAATAATATAAAACATGACTCTGAATTTACAGTCACTGTAGAACAGAAAACTATTTCATTCCCCCCTTTTTCCCCATCATTTATTTGCATCCTGCTTTTATTTGGTTTAACATCATTTGAGACCTCGCCTTTTTAAATTAGAATTTAAAATTTAAAATTTATAATTACTTACGGTGAATGGCTGGGCAGGGTTTTTGTCTCGGATCTCCCAGGACAGCAGGACAGAGTTCTTCATGGCAGCCTTTACTCTGAAGTTGGTGGCAAAAACTAAGGTACAAAAAAAAAACACACACAAAAAACAAATAAACTTGAATATTATTCCGGCCCCATTTATTTCTCTACTGAAACAAAACAATATCCTTACCTGTGTATCATTCTATAGTACGAGTCTCAAGCTAGATATCTGCTCTGATCAACACACAGTGAGTGTGACTGGACAGGGATACTCGACCAAGACCCAAGACTCTTACCTTGCTTTGGGAATAGGACGGTGTGTCTAAGACTACACTGACAAGACAACGAAAAAGGACACTTAGGATGTTTTCACCAGATGTTGTGTGTCTGAGTGTTTGTGTGCATGTGGGACTTGGTGTGCACCATATATGCACAAATGTGCGGTTAGGAAGCGTATGTTGCATCCTGAGCGATGAGGATGGGTTGTTAGGAGGTGAGTGTGAGTCCTACCTTGGTCTAGCCGTTGCGTCCTAAACTGGACACTGGGACCGTACGGCCCAGGGCCGACAGCTGTGAACGCGCACAACCTGACATCATACATAGTATCAGCATTCAGACCCTCCAACAAAGCGCTCGACCCTGGAGCGGGCACCACAACTTCTGAGGCGTTCCCTCGACTGTTTATATCCTTGTACAGCACTGAGTACTTCACAATTTTTCCATTTTGCTCAATAAGTGGGACTGATTTCCACGCCACCCGGAGGGAGGTGGCAGAAGCCTCTTCTAAGAAAACATTTTCTGGGTATCCACTTGGGGCGTCTTCTGGAGTAGTCACCTCCTTTACAGCCTCCTCCCCATAGCCCATTTTGTTACGGGCAGAGAGTCTGAACACATAGTTAGCTCCCTTGTGGATGTCTTGGGCGGTGTAGCGGTTCTCTTTGGTGGGGAACTCCACCACCGTAAAGGGAAGGACGTCGATGCGGCCGAAGGTGAGGCGGTACCCCAGGAGGGGGGTGGGTGGGTTAGGCAATGGGTACCACTGAAGCAGAGCAGTACCTGAATCAGTGGCACTCACCATCAGTTTGGGCTTCTCAGGCACTAGAAAGAGGAAAATGGCGAAAGCAAGAGAGAAAGAAGGAGAGAGAGAGAGAGAAAGAATGATGAAAAGATAATTAGAGGATAATTGCAAAGCACATTATTCATTGCTTCCAGCAAAACTGCAAAATATGATTAATATGGTACCAAATGATGGCTTCTTGCTCGCAAAGCAAGGTGTGACAGAGTGAGACATAAACCAATTCAATGATTTAATGGTCTCTAATGATCATTAGCGATGCTTTAGTCTCAAAGATCATTACCAGCTATGTGTGCTTGTGTTTGCTTTTGTAGCTCTTTGCCTTTTCTGTCTGTGTACACACTTACATGGCAGGGCGGAGCAGACAGTAACAGGTTTGCTGCGAGCACCATCACCCTTGGCAGTGTAAGCC